TGTCATCCAGGTATGTCTGTATTCAGTCTGATTTGGAAATTTATTTTAACTACACAATCCAACAGGATATATAATTATTACTAAACAAATATTTTTGTTGACATTTTTGAGATGGCATCTTCATCGACATCGGTAAACAATGGGAAGTTCAAATACTGGTTTAAAACTTCGGGTTCAAAATTAACTCCAGGAGAGGTAATTCATATTATTTTTAATGTTAAGTAACACTGTTTAGGAAGTATTTTCGTTGGCAATGAAAGTGTTTATTTTTGAATATACAGGATTCAATGAAAATATGCAAGTACTTTAACAAATTTTGGGGTCATCATCTGGTTAGTGATTTATGTTATGCCATGGATCCGAATGGGAATGTCAGCACTCTTGAAATTTGTAAAAAAAAACATAAGTATTGGTTTAGAAGTGGCTGCACTCGAATGGCAACTTTGTATGAAATGAAGACAGTGCATATTATTTTTATGCACTTTATAGGAAATAATTATTTTCATGTACGTATATTCAATGACAAATATGTTGAAATAGATTATCCAATTCCAAACGCATTCATAGACCGAAGTAGTATTGACTTTTCAACCAACTTTTGTCAAACATTCAAAACCAACATAAATAAGGAACAAGTATTCATCATTTTATAGTTAATCGTCCATAAATAAAATGTCTGCACTTGTCTGTATGAATATGTAATTTGATTTGTTTAAATTTTTTCTTTTATTTATTTGTACCAGGATATATTGGTACTTGGAGGAACTTTTAATTTCTTTTGGCAAGATAAGATGAATGTTGGCGTTGCCGTCATTATTGATCCTGCAGGAAATGAATTTTCTTTGCAATTAGCATACGACTCAAGTAGACTTGATTACCAGTTGACTGGTGCTTTGCAACTGGTACAAAGTTATCATCTTAAAAACAATCATTTGGTTTGGATGCATTATTTGGAAGATAATAAGTTCTTAATAAGGGTTTTTTCTGCAAGAAAATTCGAAATTAATTATGAAATTGCAAATGATGAAGAAAATTTACAACAGTTTATGGTTGACAAAAGTTGGATCAAAATAATTACTGAGGATGATTTATTTCCATTTGAACCCCTAGTGAGTTTTTCTACTAATTAACTACTCATAAGTTTGTTAAATATTAATTTTTTTCATTACTAATAGTTAAAATATGTTGGAGTTGTAGACTATTCCATGTGATGTTGTTAGAGATTTTATCCCAGATGAACAACAACAAATAGTCAAACAAGATGAAGAAGGTAAACAATATTTATGTCAACTTAAGGGAAGTTGTGATAAAAGGTACATGGGTGGAGGATGGTATCACTTCGTCTGCTCAAACAACTTTTTGGTGGACGATGTCCTTCAATTTTATTTTACTCATGATCCGAACATACTATATGTACAAAAAGGGTAACGTTGTTTGTCTTCATTTGTAATAGATGTTTTATTACATGACTTTGTTTATGTCTTATAATTTGTAATGATTGACTTTAGAATTATATTCTTAGTTTATAATGAAGTTGACTATATTAAATTAACAGAAATTATACAGACAATATGTTTATATTTAACCACTCAATTTAAACATGCACACTACAATGAAATATTAATGAATTTGTCCATCTAAAAACAAAAGTAAATGTAATTAATGATATGTAACATATGCCTTTTAATGAATAATAATTGGAGCACAAAAAACACTCAATGTTAACTGCATAAATAAATAAACACAATGTTGGGTGAGTTGAGTCCAAACTTTAACAATTAAACATAAAAACATACACAATATGATAAACCAAAGGAAACAGGGAATAAGCACCTTATGCAAAATCATCGAAAACCAAACTAAAAACATTTATCATGTCCTTTAAAATTGAAACAAAATATTCACTGACTATTGGGGAGTAGGATACATGTTTCAAACAATCATTCTTCTTCTTTTTCCTTGGCAACTGTCAAATTTGTCATCTGTTCATTTAACATACAAACCTCCATCTCCAGCTCCAGATTTTGATTCATTGTTTTTTCAAGTTGGTCCTCCAGGATTTGAACATTATAGTAGTTGTAGTCACGAATCTTTTTACCCGTTGCTGCTAGTAGTTGACGAATCAATGAAGCAGACACATCCTCTTGAGCATCATAGTCATTTGGTGCAAATTTTCCCAATGAAACAAGGTTCCTAACATCAGTCGTAACCAATGTTCCATAGTATCTACGATACTCAACTCCTTCAACAATCTGTTTTCGCTCGAGTGTGAACATTGGCTCCGAATAACCACGAACGGAACATATGTGACACAACAATATTCCCATGCTTTGATGAACAAGAAACACCTCAGAATTTGTGTCCTCTGCAATATCATGTGCCTTAAAACCTAAAAGGAACATAAAAAAATTAAATATTTAATTTGTTCTAATAAATAATATTTGTATAAATTAATGGAAAAATTCACCTTCTCCACTACTGGTTGATTCTTTTGGACATTTTCTGTGACCTTTGTTTTCTTTTTTTTCTTCACTGCGTTGTTTGTTGCAGTACATTATCCAAGCGGACCATGCTTCTTCATACGTCGCATATGATTTATGCTTGTTACCCTTGTAGCCCCTAACCTGTGCTTCACATTCTTCCCAACAGTAATAAATTCCTGGGTTCTGTCCCTCAAAGACGACATAAACCTTTGGCTGAGAGTTGTTTGTACTCATGTTTTTGGTGTTCAAAGAGGAGGACTGAACCTCAGAATACACAATTAGCATTTAAAATCAAATTGTGACGTTAACAATGCAAACATTTTTTTATGTATAAATATTGTACAACACGTATATAATATAAAAAACCATAAACCCATATGATTTCATATTTTGTTTTGCCATGTTATTTGGTCAATGAAAAACCAAAAAAAACGTGTACACACTGGACAACCAATTTGAAACAATTGCAAAACCATTGCCATCATTCAATTAAAAAAATCACTTTGAATCCAGGAGTATGCGGTCAGTAGCTTCTGCGGATGAAGTTGTCACATAATCATGACAATACAATTGATTTGATGTCCTCGGGTTGCTCTCCATCTTGAAAAAATATATGTATTATACATCCTAACTTAATAATAGCATGTATTATAATTAAATACTTCAATATTAATATTTTCTTAATACATTTTACTTTTTCTTTGGTGCTAATTTCTTCAATTTATAATATAAATAAATTTTCCACTTGTAATAATTAGTAATTAATTTATTTGAATATTTTAATAATATTATTCTTAATTTTAATTTTGTTTATTCTGTCACATATAAGTAAAATTTGTAATGAAAATTTACCTTTTCATTATTATCTTTTAATTAATGTTTTATATTTATTCATGTTATATTAATTTTTAATGTAAAAATTATATTATTTTAAATTTATTTTTGAAATATTATTTGTTGACATAATTTAAAGTACCAAAACCTATTAATTTTCGTGGATACCATAATATATCTTGTTTATATAATGTGTATATATACAAATAATTTTATTTATTATATTTATTAAAATACTAAAAAATGTACTATAACATTACGTTTGAAATTATTAAACAATAAATTCAACCAAAATTTGTTATACTATTAACAGTTGTACAACATATGAAATTTGATATTTATTAAAGTTGTTTAATTTACTTAACACGTAGTAATATAGTTCTGCTATTGTCCAATACGAGTGTTTTAACTCTTAGTTTACTTTACTTGTGTTGTGTAGCACATGTTGCCTAAGATTGTCTTAAAATACATAAGAAATGCATGTCCTAGTTCGCACCTTCTCTTCTTTTATTGCTGCATGACGTGACTACTCACCATCGTCTGACTTCTCAGCAGGGACATGCCGCATCACCTGAGTTATCACCAGCCTTTGACCAAACATTCCATTCAAACTCATTAATGTATTTTCCACTTTCTCTATTTATACATCATGCATCTCATTCTCTCCCGCAACTCTTCCTCCTTTGCTTTGTGTTAATTTTGTGTTCTCCGGTAGACTTCGTTGCTGTAAGTTTTATTTTTGTACCGTCCAGGTCATAATCCGACCCAACCTCTCTATCGGCAATAGGGCAAGCATGATCTCCTACTCAGAAATTGCCCGACTCGGCCTGCTAACTCATTTTCCCTCGCCTATAAGGAGACCACTCGGTATTTATCCGACTGGGCCTTCGGTAGGGATCTTGTTGGTTAAAGCCCAACTCGGCCTGCTAGCTCATTTCTTCTCGCCTATAAGGAGGCCACTCGGTATTTATCCGACTGGGCCCTCAGTATGGATCTAATCAGTTGAAAGTCGACTAAGCTCATTCCCGCTAACCCTGCGCCGTCGTGATAAAAACGGTTGGGAAAATCTCGTCATTCCCGGGGCCCAAAAGGCCCATGAACGACGTACCATAAAACCCAAAACCCTAGAGTTGAGAAGGCAGATTACACTTTTGAATGCTCTGGCTTTGAGGCTTGACCTAGACGGAAACCCTAGCTCACCCTTTGGCCAGAACATTTTGGCGCCCACCGTGGGGTTACTGTGAAACTTTTCCTACGCCCCAATTCATACAGAAAGACCTACACTTTACCATGGCGAGAGGCGGCAATAACAACAACTCACAACCCCCTACCATGGAACAGATGATGGCCATGATCAATGGCTTAAGGGAGGAGAATGTGCAGTCCAAGGAGAGAGAGGAGGCCATTCAACGTGAGAATGAAGAGATCAGGAGAAGGGCGGATGAGATGCAAGCCAGAATAACGGCCAGTACTAGAACAGTAGAGGAGGATGTCATGCTGGAGGTCCCTAGGGATTTTTGACCTTTCTCGGAGGCCATTGAGGCTGAGATTATGCCCAGGGATCATCGGATACCTCAGGTCGAACCTTTTGATGGAACGTAGGATCCCAGTCAGCACTTGACGAACTTCCGAGCTCAAATGTTGATATGCGAAGGAAGCATGGAGGTCCGCTGTAAACTATTCATGGGCACGCTCAAAAAGGCGGCACTTGATTGGTTTAGTGGTCTACCCGATCGGTCAATCACCGACTTCGATGTTTTTAGTCGGCTATTCATGGCACAGTTCGCCGCTAACAAAAAGAAGCCACCAATCACATCGGACTTGTTCGACCTCAAGCAACAACGTGAGGAGTCTCTAAAAGACTTTCTGCAAAGGTTTAATGAGGTCGCCTTGAGAATAGCGTCGTTGGATGAACGGATGGCGGTCATCGCGCTTAAAAAAGCAAATTGTCAAACGATGTCGGAGGTCCGGGCTTTCGCATTAAGTCACATCAAAACGGAGGAAAATCAAATTATTAAGAGGGCAGCGGAAAACCGAGAAGCAGGGGGCAGCAATAAGGAGGGCAACAAGCATCTCCGACCGCGGTCAGATTGGAGTAAGCGACGCGACCAATACAACCCGAAGGAGAGCAACTACCGACAGGCCGATCGCGCTGGTCGGCCAAGGGGCGAGTGGCCACGTAGCAAGGAGGAGGAGAAGTTTACTCCACTTAATGTTCCCAGGCGACACATCTTGCATGACGTTAACAGTGCGTCACTATTTGAGTTCCCAGCGGCAACTGACCGCCAATTGGGACCTTACAAAACCGACTGGTGTGAATTTCATCGGACTCATGGACACACAACTGAGAATTGCTTCGTTCTTGGTAGGCAGATTGAGCGCCTTATCAAGGAGGGTCGTTTGAAAAAGTTTATTGTAGGAAAGCAGGATGAGGGCTCGTTCGACAGGCGACGCAGGCAGGGAGGAGAAGACACCAGGAGAGGAAGGCGAGAAGGGAGATCTCCCCCGAGAGATCCCCCGCAAAAAACTACGGAGACTCACCAGTAGGCCGTCCATGGAGACTTCAACACCATTGCAGGGGGATTTGCTGGAGGAGGGCTGACTTCAGCAGCCCAGAAGAGATACTCTCGGTCGGTTTTATTAGTCTCGGATTGGGCGAGACCTACCCGGCCAGCTATCACGTTCTCGGACGCCGACTTTGAGGGTGTGTCTCCCCATGAGGACGACCCTATAGTCGTCTCGGCGATAGTCATGGCCAACATAATGTTCTGGGAAGCCTTCGTTGGGATGAAAATTCTGACCGATTGCCTTATGCCATATGCAGGTACGTTAGTTGGTTTTGCAGGTGATCAGGTAACGGCCAGGGGATACACCGATTTGGAGACAACCTTTGGCCAGGGAGACCATATGAAGACTATCATTGTCCGATACCTTGTGGTCAATGCTCAGTCGTCCTACAACATGCTAGTCAGATGACCGATATTGAATAAGTTGGGAGCAGTCATCTCCACACCCCACTTGAAGATGAAGTACCCCTTACCCAGTGGGAAGGTTGGGGTCGTCTGTGTTGACCAAGAAGTCGCAAGAAGGTGCTACGAGGACAACTTGAGGGCGAGGAGACAATTATATGTGACGCAGGTCGATCGGGGTGTTCAGTCAATCGAGTTGGATCCGAGAGTGAGTCATTTCGATACCCGACCAGCCCCGGCAGAGGACTTGAAGGAGGTTACCTTGGCCGAGGGGAGAACGGTCAAGATTGGTGTATCTCTGAGCAAGGAAGACGAGGAAGGTTTAGTGACTGTACTGAAAAGCAATATATCGACTTTCGTGTGGAGTGTCGGGGATATGCCGGGCATTGATCCCGATTTCTTATGTCACCATCTCATGGTCGACCCCAAGGCGAAGCCCGTGATCCAAAAAAGGCGAAAGTTTGGAGAAGACAAAAGGAAGACTATAGTTGAGGAGACGAAGAAGTTGATGGCAGCTGGTCACATTCGGGAAAACCAATACCCAACGTGGCTGGTGAACGTGGTAATGGTACGAAAGAATAATGGAAGTTGGAGGATGTGCACAGACTTCACCGACCTAAACAAAGCTTGCCCGAAAGACTCATACCAACTTCCCAACATAGATTGTCTGGTCGACAGTACCTCGGGGTACGAGTTGTTAAGCTTCATGGACGCCTATTCAGGTTACAACCAAATCAGAATGCATCCTGCTGATGAGGACAAAATGGCCTTCATAGCCGATCAAGCTACTTGTTGTTACAGGGTCATGCCTTTTGGTTTGAAGAACGCGGGAGCGACGTACCAGCAGCTCATGGACAAAGTCCTGGCAAAGCAGCTTGGAAGGAATGTCGAGGCATACGTAGACGATATGGTGGTAAAGTCGGACAGCTTCTATCGGCATTCCGCC